TCTCTCTCTCTCTCTCTCTCTCTCTCTCTCTCTCTCTCTCTCTCTCTGTGTGTGTGTGTGTGTGTGTGTGTGTGTGTGTGTGTGTGTGTGTGGACATTACCTATATATTGTATGGTGCAGTGCCACCTTCTCCTAGCTACTCATGGTTGCCAGTGTTTGTCTGTCTCCAGCTACGGCTGCCACTCTCACTCTCAGTCTATTCGAGCTCTGTCAGTCACCCCAGCAGCAGTGGCACTGTTGTTCTCAGCAGCACTCCAGCTGAAATGCTCCAGGCAGAATGTCGCCGGACTGGGCCAGGCCAACTTATATTACGTCGGCCGGTTTCAGTCACGTCTGGCGCCGAATGGTCGCCCCCGATCCTCTAATCTGTGAGATCGAGATTCGGCCGTGATCGGAGGCTCCCTGGATCCAGTGGGCCTCGTGTGTGCGCAAACATTTCTGATCCTTTGTGTGTGTTCAATCTGTGGTAGTGATTGGCTTGTGGAGAACTTTTCAGGCCAATAACCTGAGGCTTGGGTTGACTTACCTGAGGCTTGGGTTGACTTTTCAGGCCCTGGGGACTCACTGCAGATGTCGTCCCAAAGCTCTTGACCTCCAAAAGAATGTTGCAGTGCTTTTTTTTGTTTGTTTGTTTGTTTTTTGTGAAGCCAGGGCCATAAGGACCTGTTGCAGTGCTGGTTCTTACCGTACATTCTTACAGAGTCTCAAATAAAGAGATAGGATTGCTGCCTTCTTCACCCGAATACAACGTACGGTCATTATAGTGGTATTTGAAACATAACACAAATACAGCCATACAGCCATAATAACCGTACTTTTTATTCAGGGGAAGAAGGTAGTCCTGCTACTGTGCTACATGAAAAGCAGACAACTATCCAATCCACCCCGTCAGACACATCATGTGAAGTTGAGAACAGATTAAAAGGACCTTTGAGGGCTCTGGATGGATAGGCTCAAACCTCTGAGAGCCTGAAACCACCACTGCTCCTCAACCTATTGTTTCTCGTACCCCTGGGTTTCCCAAGTTCCAGTGCAGCGGTCCCCATGCGTCCATTGTGGAAATCACAATCTGATGGTGGGCGTTGAAGGCCACCTTTTTTTTTTTTTTTTGCAGGCATGGCAGGCCTCTGCCAGGCCGTTACCTTTCCAACTGGCAGCCCCCACATACACCAGTGTCGCACAAGGCGGTCAGCAAAAACAGCGCTGTTTTAAAGCACCAGTACACCACACATCGGCCCACGGGTGTCAGCACGAAAACCGCACCACTTCCGAGGCCGCCGATTTATTTTTTTTTCCAACGGAGCCCCACACCGCGCGGCCCCTCCGAGTTTTGCTTGTGGCAACAAAAACTTTCTGCAAGGCTGGGGCCGTGTACTTGCGGTTTAAACCACTACCACCTTTTCCAGTGGATAGATGATCCCACAGTTGGAGATGGATTGATGATCCGACGGCCACAGGTGGATTGATGATCCAACGGGCAGAGATGTTGTTTTTCCCTATCTTCAGGGGTTGGACCTGTTGTCTAGGAGGTAGTGGTGGTTTACGCAGATGCAAAAAGAAAGGTGGGTGCCATCCAGGGCTGGCCACGCCTAAATTTGTCCACTGTTCGCAAGTGGCTCTTAGAAGTGCCCCCCCCCTCTCGCATGAACATTCGCAACTCTATGGTGTGATAGATTTGACCGGTCGGTCTGATCAAGGACCGTCCTTTTCGATCAAGGACTTATATTGGTCAACAGCACCACTCTCACTGGCCTTCAGGTAAACCATCTCATGCTTAACCGTTGGTTACTTTTCCACCAATTCACACTGGACTTGCTCATTTGCTTAGCCATCTCATGCTTAAACCACCAGCCTTACTGAAGCGATTTTGCCAAACCTCTTTCTGGCCCAACCCTAACTTGATATCCATAGCAGGGTTGGGCCTATAAGGCGGGAGCAGGTTCAAGGTGGCGTGGTAGGCGCAACCAACCCATTGTGGCCTCATAGCCACTTTTTTTTTCTGGGCCGACGCCAACTTGCTAACCATAGCAGGGTTGGGCCTATAAGGGAGGAGCAGGTTCAGGTGGCCTGGTAGGCTCAGTCAACCCATTGTGCCCTCATACACACTGGAGCAAGGTCCTGGATTGAAAATAACGAGTGGATGTGCAAAATAGGAGACCTTGCTGACGAGTGGCACTCGTCAATTTCACTTTCACTTTTGCTTTTGCAGTCTAACCTTGCCACACTGCATGTTGTGCTGTACTTGCACACCATGCACAGGGTGTAAAATGCAGACCAGGTTATT